CGCTTCCCAGGACTGCAGCGCACAGGATGACGTACGGTGGCTTGCTTCTCGTCTTCCGTTCCTCCGACATCTTCTTTTCCAAATCGTTATGCCAGGAGTCAAGAATCTGGGAAGACGGAAAGGCCGTTTGGTAAATATCGGATCGTAGTACGGAAAATGGGAGAGTTATTGACACGGTCATGTACTGACTTCCGCCAGGGTATCTCGATATTCCTTAAAGAGCCATTCACAATTCGAGCTTCTATTTCCCATGTAGATCTTCAGAGCCGCCTCAGCATGTTTTTTGTGGTCGGCGAGGAGAGCATCTCTCTCGACCACGTCTGTTCCATAGAAAACGGCCCTGCTTCTCTTGTACTTCTGTGCGGCGTTCGAGCACGCGGAAACGAGTCGCGATTCGGCTTCTTTCTCTGCAGCTGCGCGTCGTTTCTCGAGCGTTGCATATGTCTCGTGCAAGAGCTGTCGGGCCGAAAGAGGAAGAACCTAGAGGGCTTTCTGCATGAAGCTTTACAACATGAAAATGCATGAATGAGCACAAAAATCGATTGGAAAACCAAAGAATCGGGAAGATCAGGGCTTGAAAAGAACATGCAGATGTAACGCAAGTAAATAGTGTGCTGCGTTATTGCGGCCTCCCGTCATGGAGCCTGCGACGCCTAACACGGAACGACTTTGTAAAAGTTGTAAGAAAGGGCTATATCGAGTAATATTTTCTATGTTTTCAACTTGATTTTACAAAATTGTCAGGCAGTTAGCCATAATGTCTCAAACATGGAGCACGTCTGCAAAAATTGCCTAAGACGAGGATGCAAAGGAGGATGCCAACTTTCTATGGGACCGCTGCCCCCCGCTTTACAAACCAAATCTTGCGTCAATTGATAGATCTTAATGAGTAGATCGAAGTTGTCAATGGACACAAGTCTCTCAGAGAGTGCGATCATTGAGTTATAGGTCATCAAAGTTCAAATATTCGGTCGCTATAATTTTTTTGCTTACAAATCTATTAAACTCCCATATTTTCGGGAGATAGATATTTGAAAAGAACTCAATAAGACATTGAAAGTTGAGTGAAATGGAAATGGAACCAGATCTTAAGCCATGTTGATTCTCAGTTTTGAGGTTTCAGACACCATGATTCTCGGATTTCAGGTTTTAGAGCAAAATGACATGAAGATATTATGACGGAAAGCCGGGAAAAGGACTCTTTGGGTTTGAAGAGTGGTTGGGGAACTCCTCTGATCACAATGCTTGCGAGCATGTGGGCTTTATTGTGAAGGATCGATTCGAAGAAATTATGCATAAAAAATGCAATTTTCATCATCTCAGAGACAATGAGAGAAAAATCGTGATTGAAATATGATTGTTATTTTATTGGAAATTTTATAATGAAAGGATCAATACATTTTTTACGGCTCATGTTGGTAACATTGAGTTCAAGTTTTGCGCACAACATTGCGTGATGATAAGAAATCATGGGCAACTTTTGCTTTTGGTCAAACTGAGCCAGTTTTGTTAATAGGTAGGGGAACATGTTTTTTTGCACCGTCCTTTATGTGTCTTTCACTGATGCTGAGGCAAGCAACATAAGCTTTTCTCTTATCCGCATGATAAATGTGAGAACGTCGCCATTTAAAAATACCTGTCAACGTATACCCTCTAAGACGCTGATAAAAAAAATTCCCTCCACTCATTCTATGTGAATAGGTTACAGTGTGTCTGATTATATCTTTTCGTTGAGCTGTGGGGGAAGAATCTCGCACCAAAATATGTATTAAAACCGTAAGTCTTCACTGAAACTTCGCATTTTGGAAAGATTTCCTCACATGGTGCAAAATCATGCATTAAAATCAGGACAGGATGGAACAAGATTCCTATCTCATAGTCAAATAAAAAATTCACGGAGATATTAACTCGCTTAATTCAATTTTTCTAACCTTCCCCTACTATACACTCTAGACAAACCTTTTCCAATTCGGTCTTGAATCTGTCTGAAAGTTGAGGCCACTGCACCCCATCCTCCAAGAAAGCTGCTAAAGCCTTCGTACGACATTCTGCGTGTCTCTCCTTCAGCTCCTCCTCCCTCATCAAGGTTCTGTCGCACAGCCTCCTCAGACAGACGTCGCATCGACCGACAATGGACAACATCGCGTTCCTCAGCTTTTCTTCTGCTGCCTTTTCTCTTGCATCCAGCTCTCTCGAGTAGGTGGAATACCGGGCTTTCAGGCGCTGTCGATGGATGAGAACTCGGTCATCAAAGTTTACACGAAGGAAGTAGAAGCCAGACTTTCCAGCAGAAGACGCGCGGTTCCTTTCGAGTCCTTGTTGAGATTCTTGGGCCGTTCAAGGCCGATGCCGTAAGAACACAAGCAGCAGTGGATATGATGATATTTTCCACCATTTTTGAACTCCACGATTCGACTTTCTCTGTGAATTGGGTAGATCTCACTAGCGCAATTAATATCGTGTGAATAACATCACACACTTCTTTTGGGACATACCTAACATCAACTCTCTTTTTAAAGAAAAAATGTTTACCTTTTTTTCGCATCCAGACCAAGCCCTGATATGAGGTGGACAATCCATTTTTCGGTGGTTTTTTTTTTCCATTCCGGAATCAAACGTTGAAGTCACTACCTATTTCATTATCGTTTTTGTGACTGAAACCAATAGTTACGATTAACGTAACAATTTTAATTCACATTTACAAAATTGCCTTATTATTGAAGAACTTCTCCGGCACAGATGTTGAGAAAATTAATTTCAAGCAAAAGGAGCATACTTTTCCTGATTTCCACCATGTAGCATGCTTCGAGTATTTCGGTCGTCCTATAAGTCGAAAAATCAGGCGTTGAATCTTTTTGTAAGACTCAATGAATGTGGATGTTCTCGTCGATTCTCAGTCATCATCAAGCTATAGTTAGAAGTTTCCGGTCAGCCATCATATACAAAATCTGGAAATAGAGAAGTATGCTCAGAAATTAGAATTGTGACGCGCCGAGTTCCTTCGAGCAAGAGTCTGTTTTATTCTTTCCATGGGTTTGTCCCATGGGTCTTCGGTTTGACCAAAACTTAGTCCTTTAAAAATGGAGCAAAACGGAAATCATATCCCCATCCTTCCTTTACCATGCCAAATGCAATCTGACCGTTTCCATTTCTTGCTAAGCTGGATACCCTGGGCCCGATTAGGGGCATGTAAAGGGTGAAGTGTTGAGGATTCCCTAATTGCCATTCCGAGTTCGTGGGTCGGTACGGTTACATTTTTATCATCTGTCATTCCCAAAGTGGGAAAATACCATATACCGCGATCTTATGTCAATTTCTCTCCTTCCCTCTTTCCGCGGTATCCGTGACATCTGGACAGCTCAACTTCGCGAATGTGCGGCTTTCCGTCTGAGTCGGGGTGCCAGTCAACGACTGAAGCTTCTACTTTCCTTCCAGCCCTCGTGGGTGATCCATAGTAGACGATAAGAGAGAGGGGGTGATCGCGGCCTCGTAGATAGGGTTGTTGGGCGTACGCGTGAGATTCCGCATCTGATATCCTACTGTACACTTCATACTATTCATACTCCTCTTATCTCTACGCAACGCGTGCGCGCGAATGTTTTTGATGCAGTGAATAAAATTATGTAAGATTTTTTTTTGTGCCAGAAATCTCTAGGCATTCCATGGCATCATAGAAACTGGCATGAAAAGCTGGTGTTTCAGGTAATTCGGATTTCCACATATTGTTGACAATAGCTGAAAGTACCTATGAAAGAAGCCAAGGCCGAATATTTTTGGAAGGCATTCGGAAAAGTCTAGATGGAAATTCGGATTTTCTCATTTCTGATTGTTCACTGGCAAGCTATTGAACTCCGTGCGTGGCAACATGGGGGTGTTCATTTAGGGAGACCGTCATACACTCTTAGAAAAGGGGGAGCGATATTTCTCAAAAAAGAGAGTAAAATTGCTAACTCCAGTTTCACCCCCCTTTCACTCTGGGAAAGGAGCGAATTTGCTCCATCACTAAGGAGTAAAATTGTTCTCCTCCTCCGTGAGTAAAAACGCTCCCATCAGAAAGTGATGGAGATGTCATGCAAATACGAAAATTCTCATATGTTTAGTATAATGTGTGTCGCTTTCGCTCTCGGACAGGCGATGACCTACTTTTGACAGTACTGATTACAGCACAGGTCAGAGGGAGGATCACCTCTTATAGGCCTTATAGAGCATCCGAGATATCACTTCTTTATTACCTCATTTAATTGAGGTATAATTGAATGAAGCTCACGGACACTGTTGATTCTAGATCTCCTATGCGGGTGAAACAAAAAGTGTTCCAAAAGGGTTCTCAATAGGAATATGGACTTGTTTATGGCCTGGATTCCATGAATATGTCTTGAATATGTGGATAACAAATGATGAAGTGTTTGTGTTTATTGATTTCTATAATGAGACGAGGCGAGACATATGGCAAGGTACTGAACAATCCTGCAAGGGACAATTCCAGGGAAAGAGAGAAGGGAACTTTTGTGTACCGTGNGGGATGCAAGAGAGACAGCGGCGGCGATGAAGCTGAGGAACGCAATGGTGTCGATAGCCTCCCAATACGACATCCAATTGAGGAAATCGTGCGAAGAGAACTACATCAGTGAGGAGGAGCGATGAGGGAGCATTTGGTGAGTAATAAGAAAGTAAATTCGAAAAGCTCACGGAGTGTTCACTTTTTACTCCCCAAACGCTCGGAATTTTCTAAGAGTGTACTATCTCTCTTGAATACAGTCTTAATTAATATGGATAAGGAAAACATCCAGTCTGAGGGTCTCCAAGGAAACAAAGAGAAAAATACGTTGGTTTTCTCAGTATATGTTATGGAAATATAGCCCCAATGGTTTTCTTCTTGGTCAAAATGTTGATTTGGTGAATAAGGGATTCCTGTAATATATGGTCGAAACGAGATACATTCCCGACCATTCACAGAAGGAGCATAATGCATCCCTCAGAAATCCAGCAGTGAAAACGACTCAACTCGCCTGCTCCAACTTGACCAGGTTCTTCGTTAGGGAACGGGGATCGCGCTTCCCCCTCTCCGACAGGGCCCCCAAGGCCTCCCCGCAGTGCCTGGCGTGCTCGTTCTGCAGCTCCTGCCGGCTGGTGATCGAGGCCAGCAGTTCCGTCATCTGACCGTTGTATCGGGCGACAGCGGACTCGACGTCTCGGAGTCCCTTGTGCTTCTCGAAATCGTCGCCGATGATCTGATGGAAGAAAATGGACCGAATCGATCTAGGAGAAAGCTGTGCGGAATGGCGTCGAACCGGAACAAATATGAACGCGACTATTCAGTGTGCATTAGGCTAATGTCACGGTAGGTACCTTGGAGAACGGTCACCTCATGTCCTCATCGCATTCGACGAGGTGAGAGAGAATAGTTACATGCTCTTTGGAGCAACATTCATGCCCTAAGGGGCAAGAGGAACGTCGTCGTCTCTCATTCCATGCAAGGTCTCAGTCGATGCTGGATCGTACCATGAAACCATTTGAAAATGTTCTTGCCAATTCAAGTAACTATGGTCGGAGACCCTGACGCTTTCATACGATTACTGCGGCGTGATTGGCGCTTTTCAAAATGCCATTAAATGCCTAATGGGGAGTCGAGCGTGAACTTCTGTACCCGTTTTCCTTACTCGCTTTCCTCACCTTTTCCAGTTGGTCCAGATATTTATTGGAAAGGCTGTGATGATATTCTTCCGCTTTCTTCGAAAAGGCTCCAGTAGCTTGCTTCCTACTTTGTTCGTGTCCACGGTCGAGGAAAGCATCGACGACGGACACTTCGACTCCCTCTCCCTTCACAGCGCCGGCGTGATAGACTTCGCACAGCTGTTCCATCAGGCTGCCGTAATGCTGGACGGCGGCTTCCACTGCGTTCATCAGCACTCTTGCGTCTCTCGTGCTCGTCTCGTACTTCTCGTCCAGGTGCTGCGAGGGGGAAAAAAATGTATTTCTCGGACGGGATCGTTCATCATGCGATGGGGGATGAACCGAGACTGACCTTTTCCATCTCGTCTTCGAATCTGTTGGACAGGTGCGGCCACCGCACTGCGTTCTTCATGAAGGCGGCAAGAGCCTGCCTTCGATACTCCGCGTTTCTCCTCATCAGCTCCTCCTCACTGATGTAGTTCTCTTCGCACGATTTCCTCAATTGGATGTCGTATTGGGAGGCTATCGACACCATTGCGTTCCTCAGCTTCATCGCCGCCGCTGTCTCTCTTGCATCCCTCTCTTGCAGGTAGAGTTCGCTCCCTGCTTTCAGGCGCTGTCAGGGCGGGGTGGGGGGAGGGGAGGGGTGGGGGGCGGGAAGGGGGGAGATTGCGATGGTCTAAGCGTATTATTATAGGAACTGCGGATGATGGAATGAGTCCTACTTTTTTTAACTCCTCCGTCAGTTTCGTCGAAAGTTGCGGCCACTGCGATTCCACCTTCGAGAAGGCATCGATCGCTTCCTTCCGGAGTTTTTCGTCTTCGCGGACGAGGTCCTGCTCGCCGATGAGATGGCCTGCTCTCCAGCGACTCATCCCATCGTCGTATTGCTTCACTGCGGTTTCCATCGCGTGTAGAAGTTCCCCGAATCGCCTTGTCCGCATATCGTAATTTTCATCCAAGCACTGGGGATGAAAATTGTCATTTATTTATTACTTAATATTAATGTTATTCTCCTGGCGAGATTGACATTCGTAATACTTTAAATATCAATTCATAATAACAATGAAACTCACATTTTCTAGCTCGTCCTTAAATTTACCAGAAAGTTGCGGGCATTGCGCTGCGTCCTCCGAAAACGACGCAATCGCTCTCTTGCGACATTCCTGGTGCCACTTCTTGAGAGCCTCCTCGCTGGCGAGGGCCTCCTCCCCGACGAGGGCCTCCTCACACCATCGGCTCAGCCGGGCGTCGTGCTCGTTCGCGGCTCGTTCCACGGCGTTCTGCAGCTTCGTTTCCGCTTCTTTCTCCCTGGCATCTCTTTCTTTCGCGTATTTCTCGTACTGGATTGCTAGGCGCTATTGTGAGGGGAGGGGAGGAACTACCGATTGTAGGCGTTAGGGTATTCTGAAACGACTTTTTGAAATGTCATAATAATGAATAACATCAACTATATTTTTATTTATTTACATTTTTACTTTAGCCCTAACCTAGTTAGTTCTTTCCTTTTCTGAACAGAATTTCCTCATTTCAACCCAAGTCTCGACATGGGTACAGTTTCTAAACTGGTTTCGTCATGCAACAGTGTATGTCCAAAACACGTATTATGAACTTCCCGCGAAGAAACAGTGTGAACCTATACTGCGTAATTATTTTTAAAGAACATAATATTTACAACTGAAAGAAAAGGCATAGCGAAACGTGCATTCCATTAGGAGGCACGCGTCTTCCTCTCTCGCAAGTCACGCCAGAAAAGCACATCAACAATAAGTTCATTAATGATTTTGTGATATTCATATTGTAATCCATGCCAGACGAAAACAAGAAAAATTGTAGCGATCCAGGCGAGCGAAAGAGTCTTTCCTCTCGAAGACCGACTCCTACCCAAAGACCCAAAGACCCTCTGACGCGCAAGAGCGAAAGTAACGACCTGGGTCAAGTCGTCCGCGTGTTTCTTGGAAAGGTGGGGAAACTTCCTCCCCGCCTCCGACACGGCACGCAAGGCTTGCTTGGAATGCTCCAGGTGTCCGTTCCGCAGCTTGTGCTCGGCGACGATCGCGGGTCCCGCCACCAGGCGGGTCATCTGGGCGGCGTATCCCCTCGCGGCGGAATCGACGGCGAGGGCGAGCGAGTCTTCCGCGCCTCTCTCGAGGGCGTCCCGGTGTTTCCGGTGCTTCGAGAACTCCTCGACGACGAGCTGTGGGCGGAGAATTTCGTTTTCGGTGAAATCTGGAGAGGAACGTTCCTCGGGATGAGCTTCGAGTACGAGGAAAGGAGAGAACGGGAGGGGACGGTGCGACGACATCCGACACCATGGAGGTGTCGTTTCTCGACGACACTCGACAATGTCGCGTCTTTCCATCATACAAGTTGATGGCGTCAATTGCGATTAATTCCCCTTTTTCTCGTGTCAAGAATTTCCAAATCTCTTCCTAGGAGAATGCAATCTTTGCATCAAAGATCCCCCCCCTTTTTTTTTTTACCCATTATCGTAACGGAAAAAAATTGCCATTTTTTTTTTCCCCGACGTGTAATGAAATCCAGTCTGGTCTATCGACCGTCCGCTCCCGTCCTTTCCTCGGCGACGTCACCTTTTCGAGTCGGTCCTGATATTTCTTCGCCAGACTAGGGTATTGTTTTGTTTTCTTCGCGAAAGAGTCGAGCGCTTGCCTGCGATGCCTCTGATGCGCGTCGTTCAACTCCTGCTCGCGCATGAAGGGTCCGTGACGCAGTCGCTCCATCTGCCCGCCGTATTGCCTCGCCGCGGCATCCACGGCGTTCAGAACTTCTCTCGCGTCTCTCGTCCGCGTCTCGTACCGGTCGTCCAGGCGCTGCGAGGGGAGAACTCGTTAGGGGCCAAGGGATCGTCAGGGGCCAGGGGATCGTCAGGGGGCGAGGGGATCGTCAGGGGCCAGGGGATCGTCAGGGGGCCAGGGGATCGTCAGGGGGCGAGGGGATCGTCAGGGGGCGAGGAGATCGTCAGGGGGCGAAGGGAAACGGACCTTCTCGAGCTCGTCCTTGAACTTCGCGGATAGGTGCGGGCACTGGGCTCCGCTCGCCGAAAACGCTGCGAGCGCCTGACTGCGATATTCCGCGTTTTTGCTTCTCAATTCCTCCTCGCCGCTCGTTGCCCCGTCGCACAATCGGCTCAGCTGGACGTCGTATCGACCGGCGGCTGCCGCCGCGGCGTTTCTCAGCGTCATTTCCGCAGCTCTCTCGCTTGCATGCCTTTCTTTCGTGTAAAGTTCGAACCCGGCTTGGAGACGCTGTCGGATGCGGGGAACCGTTAAGTCATGTTAGTCATTCATCATGGTGAAACGAGTTCGGAAAATTAGAAGAGAGTCCCACGATGGCGACAAGGATTCAAACTAGTTTAAAAGATGAAAGAAAATGCGATTATGAACATTAGCATGGTGGGAAAGCCTAAACTATCTCGCTTTCAGATAACATGCCGCTCTGAGCATATGGTGGAGAAATTCAAGATTTGCGACATGAGGATGTTCCTTCAAGGTTTTTTTTTGTTTCCTTAACGTTTAATGCGCCAGAGAGGAATGTTAAAAAATATCTGGTGAGTGAAGATCTCTTGGTCGTATTTGAATCACCTTTGAATTCGTTGGTACTTTTGAGGCACTAAGTTTGAATTTTGTCAGGAAGTAAACATTTTTTTTTTTTTAGATAGGTAGCTGAAAATGTTATGCTTGGGTAAATTATTCCGAAATATAAATTGATTACCGGACCACATCCCGGAGACAAGTCTCACTTCGCATTTTATGACATTGTTCTGAATGAAAATTAAGGAGTTATACTTTTTCCAAGTTGCTCATGAGCTTCTTCGAAAGTTGAGGCCACAGAGGTCCCGTCTTTGAGAAGCTTTCGATCGCTTCCTTCCGGAATTTTTCGTCTCCGTCGGCCAGATCTCGCTCGGCGATGAGATGGCCCCCACTCAGCCGACTCATCCGATCGTCGTATTGCTTCACGGAGGCTTCCGATGCGTTCAAAAGTTCTCTGGCATCCCGCGTCCTCGTCTCCTGCCTTTCATCGAGGCGCTGGGGGAGCAGGAGTTCCTCTCCATCGAAGAAGCGATCGTCACGCCGCGTAGAGATGGGAGCATCGCCTACCTTCTCCAAGTCGCCCTTGTGTTTCTCCGATAGATGTGGCCATCGCGTTCCGCTCTCCAAGAAAGTCGCAACCGCCTCGCGTCGGCATCCTGCGAGTCGATTCCTCAGCTCCTCCTCGTCGTTCGGGGCTCCACCGTACAACTCGCTCAGCTGGATGTCGTATCGAGACACAGCCGATTCCACAGCATTCCCCGCAATTATTTCCGCCGATTTTTCTCTAGCATCCCTTTCATTTATGTAGATTTCGTACCGCGATGCCAGGCGCTATTTAGAGATAGCGACGGGGAATTTGATCATTTAAACATTTCGCGAACATTAGGAGTGACCGAATGAGTTTTACTTTTTCCAGCTCATCCTTGAATTTCGCAGTATATTGAGGCCATGGAGATCCCGCCTTCGAGAAGGAATCGACTGCCTCCTTCCGAAATTTCTGGTCTCCCTCGATCAGCTCTTGCTCGCTGATCAGAACATCCCCGTTCAATCGGCTCATCTGGTCGTCGTATTGCCGGACTGCAACTTCTACTGCGTTCGTCGCGGCTCCTTTTCCTTCTCTTGTCGTCCTCATCGCATACGTCTCATCCATGCTCTGGCAATCATTCCTTTTCTTACAAAATGGGACTTACAACATCTACATTATGTGTTATGAAAATCTGCCACCATACACGACTCTCATGCATGTTGGCCATGTCTGTCTGAACTAGAGGTGAAGGCTGAAGTGAGAGAGTTTCGTATTGCAAATCAAATTTCATGAAATTGTAGTTTTCTCCGGAAATTGGAAGCTTTAATATCTTGCGTTCATTTGATGTTTTTAAAAGAGAAACTTGTCTTTTTATTCCAATGATCTCGGACGGATATTAAGTAAAATATAATGTAATTAATATTAAATATGAAGCCAGTAATGCAAATAAATGAATAGAATACTATTTTTCAACCCTGAGAACAGACAGGAAATTCCAAGATTTCAAGTTAAACTCAAGCGATTCCCTTTGCATCGAAGCAAGAGCATTGAAGTTCGATATCGTTTCAACCTCCGTCATGTGTCAACGTCGAAGAGCATTGCTTCCCACATAGGATCAACATCGGCTCGACGTTGAAATGGGACAGGTCTCAGCAGGCATGGCGCATGCTCCATTTGATTATCGATGCCCTCGGTGAATTCTAAATGAATTAACTCGATTAATTTAACTTAATTAACTAAATGATCTTGACATGAACTCCACGCCGAGACGAGGGAGACGCTCCTCGCGGAAGCAAAAGACACAACGGAGTGACTGCATCCAAGGAAAATATGGATGACACTCCATGGATCCTCCAGTGCAGCCCACGAGATCTGGCTTAGGATTTTCTTACGAGGGCGGAGGGGTTCTCACGCCCAGTTAGCTTTTTTCTCTCCGTCACCAGGGTCAGAATTATCCTGGGTCTCGTTGGGACGGGTTACATTTTTCGTCGAATGTATCCAGAGATTCAAATACCTTTCCCGGTGTCGTCTGTGGAGGAAATGTCGAGTACCGTTCGGAAAGTTCTGGAGCCGGGTATGTATGAGGTAACTGGATGTATTGGCGATTTGTCGTCGTCACTCTATGGGGTCAGGGAACTTTATTTGCTCGAAAAACTGCCCGATGCCTGGTCCGACATATGTTGGTTTCTTGTCGCCCGGAGCAGGTCGACCTAACAATGTCGATATTTTCAACATCGGGTCAATGTTGACTAAGCCTTGACTCATCGGCATCGGCGTTCCCTTAACATAAACAACTCATCAACGCTGAGTCAATATTTATTTAATTATTTAACGTACTTTGGGACAGACACATCGCCAGGTAAATTATAATGATGTGGAAGCAACTTGTTTCTGTTGAGCATAATCGCAAAACATCTCGCTATGAAGTTAATTGAAAAGAAAACACTAGAAATGGAATATTAGAAAAATACCCAGGTAGCACATAACATTGATTCAACGTTGATTTGGCGTGGATCGAATGTTTCACTGTTGAAGATTTATCCTTCTACGTTGAATCAACATTTATTCAACGCGGTGCTCATCACCGTTTATGCACCTACATTGACTCAACATTGAATCATTGCTGCACTATTCACGGTGGAAGTGCCAACACTAAATCAGCCTCGATTCAATGGATTCGTTTGCAGCAAAAAAAAATCCTTTGTTTTTACCCTTAGGATTTTTTGTGTGTACTTCATCATGGTTCGTTGAATAGTTTAGTCAATCTGCCTCGGGTGCACGTCTCCCTCTCGCGGACAAGCACTTTTTTATGGCCCTTGCTACTGTCGGATATATTCTCGAGAACGTAATAGCCCGAGGGTGTTGGGGGAAGAGTTCGGGAGGCATAAGAAGGATAAAACAAAATGACGCGTCCGAGAATAGAACTCTTACCTTCCTGATTCCTAAGCAAAGTGTTCCCACTACACCAGATCTACCAGAAATAATTTGGTTTAAGAGGAAGGTTCGATTTAGAGGAAACAAGACTGTGCTTGAAAGGCATTCAAATTTCGTCGCATCAAGCAAGCAGAATGGCATTTTCAGCTCGCAGGGTATCAAAGTCTTATCGAGTCAGATCTACTTTCCGATATAGGCACCGACGTGTTTATGTAGGCCATGATGGGCTTGGTGTGGGAGAAGTGACGTGACGACACTAGTTAGATATATTCTAATTAAGCTTGAACTGTAATGGCTGCTGAAACCATTCCTGTTTTCTTAATTAATAATGCAGAAGTGTTGCTCTGGGACCGTCTTGATGGTACATGGTCATCATATACAGTGTTTCCCATTTGAATCTCGGGTTTTTTCTTCATCATTGCTGCGTAACATGGCTACCTGAGCATGGTGAATGCCTTTTACACGTATCGAAGTACAATAGGTTATCCAAAGAATGGACAGACTCACGTGAAACAACTTCGCCTGCGTCAGCATTGCGTCAGTATTTTAATTTAAAAAACGCTTCAGTATGGCATCAATGCTTCAACATTGATTCAATGTTGACTCGATGTTGAAGACAGCAATATTGCGAGAACGTTGTCCAGTCAACGTTACATCAACAGATGTCAGGCGAGACATCTGGCGAGACATGAGAACAAACAAGATTTCCTGCCTGCGAAGTGTGATGGCGACTACTTGCCCAACATAGTTAGTTACAGTATTTATGCACTCGGTACGCGTCTCTAGTACTTTTGGAGCAGTACTTGATATTTTCTCCAAAAACGACGCCAGAAAAGGTATTTGACTTCCTGCATATTTTCGACCTACGTGGCAATTCAACCAAACAGGACCCAGGATAATTCTGAACAGGTTGCTGGGCGCAAAAATGTCTGTGAGGTCATATTACTCCACGAGACCACAACGCCCTGTCTTCGATGATGAATCCAAATCATGATCACTGTCGTAGGATACGTGGAATGAGGGTAGCCTCTCATTACATCGCAGGAAACACGCGGGCGTCCTCCTGCTTTCGGGGGAGTAGGATGCGTCTTTCTCTTCTCGGTATTAAGACCTCATTGTCTTTGAATGGGGGATTCTCTTAAAAAAGAGGATAGCCTCCTGCCTCTAGCACAGGTCTACTATAAGTTATCATGAAGTCACTACTTTTCCGCGTACGCGTGCTTATTTTCTCTAACGATTCTGGACAGTATAGTTGCAACTTGGTAGCACCTAACTTTTAGTATTCAATATTGAGGAAAATAGATTTTCAACACCGTTGATAAGCAAATGTCGAATCGACGTTGCAATGTTGCTGTTGAACATTGACTCAATGTTGATTTACCGTTGATGTCAACGTTGAATCAATTGTTGATAAAAAATGAACTTTTAATATAGAATCAATTTTGACAGGCAACGTGTCTTAAAAACGTTAGCTGCGTTGACGAAATGACGTTGAATCAACGTTGAGTCAACGTGAGTGTGCTACTTGGGTAAGTACGCACTCACAACGGAAGATATAAAAAAGTTTTCAATAAAATAAGAACATTTTCTGCAAGGTATAACAGACTTACACTCCAGTTAGTCCTTAATAATTTTCTGCTAAAAAGCAGATGAAATCATTCGATAATTATCTCATGAATTGAGATGAAATTACATGAGAAAATATGTCAATACCATGAATTCTATCCATATTTTGGCTATTGTCGTAAAAAACGTCCATCCTTACTTTGATTTAAAAAATCGAACAAGCAAATGATGTTTAAAAAATAACAGTTAAGTTGGAGTCCAATTTCAGCAAAGTAATTACACCGGTCATTTTAATTAACACCTCACTCCACTTTGCCTGGAAAAGGTTGAGCAAGAACTTAAGCAACCACTTATAGCCCGTAACATAACGCAGGAGGTTCTTCCAGCATTGCCGGACGGACGCTATAAGGAGCGAAAAAAAGAACAGCTCGTCTTCGCTGAGTGAGGTCGCTTGGGAGACTCGGTTCAGCTGGATGTGGTATTGAGATGCAGCCGAGACCACGGCGTTCCTAAGCTTCAGCTTTGCTGTTCTCTCTCTTGCGTCCCTCTCTTGCGTGTAGACCTCGTACTGGGCTTCGATGCGCTGTCGGGTGGAAAGGGAATCCAATCAGCCAAATGAACGAAATGAGTTTTGAAAGATGGCACAATTTATACTTTCTCCAGTTCGTCGAACTTGAAAAAGCTTTCAACTCCGGTAACACTAGAATAGAAGCTATCCCTCAGCTAACGAAGGAGGGCTTCGAAAAACGAAGACAGCTAGTCCAGGACAAGCGACTAGTCTACCGGGGGTTAGTTATGGCTCATATTATCGTTGTATCGCTGGAAGGCGGCTTCCATCTCTTGAGTGAGTTTCTTCTTTGTCTCCGCATCTCTTTCGCTTAACTTCCTCGTGCTGTTGGAGACAAGTGGATATCGTCCATTTCATTCTCAGAAACCTCGAAAGCAACGATAAATATGAGGATGCTTGTGTCCATATTGCGTTCTAGGGTTCATGTACCCATGACACACAATAAATTAAGTTTTTAATGTTATATTTCCTTTATTTAAATTATTTATCCTTGGTTTGTATTCAATTCAATTCAAATATATATGATACTAGCGAGTTTGTTTGCCCTTCGGGAAAAGCAAACCCACTATGATCGCGCCTTCGGCGCTCCATTGCCTTGGATAGTGATTAATTCATTAATTTTTGCGAATCGGGAAACATTTATTTAAAGTACGTCCCCATTAAAATACGTGACATATGGGGTCGAAAATCTTGATTTTGATCAAAATCATTACTTCTATGATTCTACGTGTGCCTAACTTAAATCCTTTCTTATGTCTCTTTTTGTAAGGGTGAATACATTTTCAAATACTTCCCTCCTATAATCTATGCTAATGGGACATAATTCAAAAGTAGGATTTTTTCTGTACTCAGCAATCAAACAGGTACTTCTGAGGGAAGTTTACATTATCTGTCTTGGTTTCGTTGGATCAAAAAAAATTCAGGAAAATGGGACTGAAAAAAGTGTCCTGACGGGTTTTAACGTAAACTTTATTTCTTCTGAAATGTAGACTCAGGGAACTCCATGCCACCCAGNGTCCAATTTCAGCAAAGTAATTACACCGGTCATTTTAATTATGTGGAGTGAGGTGAAACGGACCTTTTCCAACTCGTTCTTGAATTC